AAGTGTATCATGACCCAATTCTATTTTTGGAAAAGTCATGAAATTAGGTGGAGTTTTACTTCGACAGCTACATTTTAAAATGCAAAGGGGTCCAAATAAGCCCTTTGCCAAGTCTAGCGTTAAACAAAAGCACTTGCTATAATAAGGTTTGGTTTTTTTGGGGGGGTTCAAGTCTTGCTTTTTTGGTTTTGGTTTTTGTTACATGACAAAGTGTTTCATATACAGTATACGTGTTGGCTGCTTTTCAAGCATATGAAAAAAAAAAGGCATTGGCCCAAATCATCACGATTGTAATAAAATATTTTTAATCAGGTTTTGTTTTTGTTTTTTTAACTTAAGTTTGCACACGCCTTTCTTGAATTTTATTGCTCAAAAGCCCAAACATAATCTTATCAAATCTAAGGAGCTTGGAAAGAAAAAAGCATCTTTCCAAGCTCCTTAAACTATGATGACCTGGATGACTGAGAACCTTCACAGATATGATCTTATCAAATTTTACTGGGTTTAGGTGAAGGTCGTTGGCTCCAGTTCTCTAATACTATGCAATACTATACTATACAATGCACCAATACTATACTTCTTGAGGATGAAGTTGTATTTGGACTAATGGACTATTGTTTCTCCTTACCTAATTGAGCAGTTCTTGCATTAGGCCAGTAGTGGAACAGAAATGAATTTGCTGTAAAGCAAATGGGTTTAATATACAGTTTAAATCCTGGTGTTCAGTATTTTACATTATATTAGAGATTACCTGACATTTAATTTCAGGTCCAAGAGCATATAAAGTTTTAAATTCTGTGAAAGTATGTATTTATAGCCATTCTGTGATGGATCCACAGTATTGTTTTATCCGGTTAGCCAATATTCTTTCACCTGTGTCCACTAAGTTTTACAGGGCACAACCTACATACTCAACCTCTGCTGCTCAACCCAAAAATACATTTTTCTTACAAAGGTGGCACCATAAATAGGCTTTCCAGTGATATACGATTCATTTGCAACATTCATTGTCACAACAAAGAAATCAACCAAACTTAAATTTCCTTAGTTTTGTAATACAGACTCTGTGTTTTGGTTTTTACCTGAGCTTGTTAACGCACTTAGTGGGCTAGTAGATGTCGTCATGGCGCTAGAACCCGTAGGTGTGGCCTGTGTAGCAGTTGCTGCTGCTGCTAAAGCAGCGAGGTTCTGCATAGCATTAAGACCTGACAGACACATGAATAGGCAAGTTTAAGTTCCCCAACAGAGATCATCAGTTATACAGATATAAGGCTGGACTTAACTTTCTCAATAAACAAAGGGATGAATCTAAACTCAAAATAATTAATGAGATTATTATGTAGCCAGTAATATAGCTTTACATTTTTTGGATGTGTGTATATGTACCTGAAACAGGGTGCAGGTTGTTGAGTGCATTCCCTGTGGAGGCAGACTGCTGCAGCAACTGTAAGTAGAGCTAAAGCAAGAAGAAAAATGGAAGATAACATTTAAATTTGTCAATTTGTTTTCTAATGGTTGTTACATTTTGGATAAATATACACTTACTGCTAAGTACTGTGGGCCTAAACTGTTGAGTCCAGTGAGATTACCCCACATGGAAGCAGCACTAAGTTGCTGCATCTGCTGCTGCAGCTGTTGAGCCATGCGCTTCTGCTCCTTGTCCTTCTGAGTGTCTGCAAATTTCACTACAATTGGCGATGAACAACCCTGAACACAAACACAGGAAAACATTGTGCTCATGACAGGTTACTGGTCAAAACTATTAAACTGCATCTTTCAAATTCCAAGTAACGTAACCAAATAGTTAAAAAAAAAATCTAGAATAGAATAGAATAATCCTTTAATTGTCCCACAAGGGGAAATTTGGTGGTAACAGCAGCCAGAAAGACACATATACAAACAAACAGGACAGAAACATACACAATTTTTTCTTACATATTTACATCAAGGACAATGGTTAATCGCTTGCTGTGAATAATCATATACTGGGAAACCTTGAAACTATTTATCCAGTGGAAACAACAGAATGCAGATCTTCTAAAATCAAAATCACAGACAAAATGCAAATTAGTTTTTTTTTTAGTTTAAACTTCACCTCCATGGTCTGGGACTGGTGCATGGATTTGATAGCAGACTGGGCCATTTGTCTGGCTGTGAATGTCACAAACGCACAACCTGCAAGAAAGAAACTAAATGTATCAGTTTTGTTAACCTTTCAGTAAGACCACACTTATTTTTAACAAAATTTTTGATACACTTTTCCAGTTTATTGGTGTAAGAGAACTTGGTTTTGATTAAGATTCATTATTCATATTTAACCTCCTAAGACCCGAACTCTTCCACAGCAGCATTTTTAATTTCTCTTTGATATTTGGGCTGATTGGGGCCCGATGAATGTAAAAACAAAGAATTACCAGATTTTTTTTTTTACCTTACTTTTGTTTTTAATAAAAATGAGAGCCACGTATGAGGATATTCATTTAAAATTTTGAGAGAACAGTAGCAGTATAATGTCCTCATAAGTGGATATCAGGCCCTTGTAGAGCAAAATTTAGTATTTTGGTCTAGATAACCCAAAATGTGATGTCCACATATGTGGACGCCAGGTCCTAATTTATCTTTATATTTCAATTCAATCAGTAGGTCTGCACTGTGTATAGTGCTGGCGGAGCGCTGCTGACGTCGACTGAGAAAATTGTCAGGCGGTGGAAGGAATACTTCGAGGACCT